TGCTGGGTTACTGTCTGGGAGTCTCTTGGGCCACCCTGGCCAACAACTCAAAAGAAGGTATATCCTGTCTGGCATTGTTTTTTGTTATGTAGCCTTTAGCTATACACATGGACTCTTAATTATACTGATCACTTTCATCTTTGGTTATACTTTCCTTTTGGGTGTTTAAGGCCATAGAGTTGGCCCAAATAAACCAATTTATTTTTACTTTTAAGGATGTTTTAGGATCTGTTCCTCAGGGTCACATGGGCTTGGGAGGAGCCCCTGTCTCCTTTCTTTTACCAATTCCATCTATATGAAGATAAGTCAAAGATCCTACTCCACTGTGGGTGGCTTCACTTGGAAGCATAGAAGAAATGTTTCCTCTTTGTTGACCCTCCTCTTTGTAGACTGGACACTGGTTCAAGTCCATCTGGTGGGGTCTCCATGGACTCCTTGATCAAGAGGACAGGTGACTCCCATTAAAATAACCCCATTTGTATCCATATCTCCCTTCTTAACACCTGTTTCATACTGTTCTTCTCTTTCAGGTTCCTTCTTTTCCTTTGCCTCCCTGATTCCTTTTGATTATCCTGGTTCCTGTAGTTATGTCTGGATACATACTCACTTATACGGATTTGGTGCTAGGGTCCACATTTGAGATAGAGGATACATCGTTTGTTTTACTGTGTCTGTGTTATTTCACTTAGTATAACAGCTTCTAGTTCCATCCATTTACCTGCAAATTTCATGATTCATCATTCTTTATTGCTAAGTAGAACTCCATCATATAAATGAACCACATTTTCATTATCCACTCAGCAGTTGAGAGACATTTAGGCTCCTTCCATCTCTCAGCTATTGTGAAAAGAGCAGTAACAAACATGGATGTACAAGTGTTTCTACAATGGGATGAGTTCTTTGGGTACATGCCAATGAGAGGTATAACTGGGTGAAATGGTAGGTTCATCTTTATTTTTTTAAGAGTTCTCCACACTGCTTTCCATAGGGATTGAACAAGTTTGCAATCCCACCAACAGTGGGTGAGCATTCCCCTTTCCTCACAACATCTCCAACATTTGATATCATTTGTTCTCTTGATCTTAGCCAGTCTGACTGGGGTAAGATGAAGTCTTAAAGTGGTTTTAATTTGCATTTCCCTAATTATTAGTGGTGTTGAACATCTTTTAAGATGCTTCTTAGCCATCTTTATTTCTTCTTTTGAGAATTCTCTGTTCAGCTCCTTAGCCTATCTTTTAATTATGTTACTTCCTTTCTTGATTCTTTGTGTTTGGAGTTCTTTGTATATTCTGGATGTTAAACCTCTATCAGATGTGTTGCTGGTGAAGATTTTCTCCCACTCTGTGGGTTTTCTCTTCACTTCCTTGATTGCTTCTTTTGATGTACAGAAGCTTTCTAGTTTAATGTTTAATGTCATTTGTTGATTCTTGGCCTTGTTTCCTGAACAATTGATGTCTGGTTTAGAAAATCCTTTCCTACACCTATATCTTGTAGGTTATTACCAAAGTTTTCTTCTAACAGTTTCAGAGTTTCAGGCTTTACATAGATGTCTTTGATCCATTTGGAGTTGATTTTGAGCAAGGTGAAAAAGGGATTTAGTTTCATTCTTCTACAGGTGGAGATCCAATTTTGCCAGCACCATTTGCTGAACATGCTGTCTTTCTCCAGTGAATGTTCTTGGCCCGTTTGTCAAATATCAGGTGGTTGAAATTGCATGTACTCATATTTGGGTCTTCAATTTTGTTCCCTTCATCTATGAGTCTATTTTTGTGCCAGTACCATGTTGTTTTTATGACTATAGCTCTGTAAAACAGCTTAAAATCTGGTATAGTAATCCCCGTGGCATTGCTCTTAGTGCTCAGGGTTGCTTTGGCTATCCGAGGTCTTTTGTGCTTCCATATGTATCTTAGGGTGGTTTTTTTTCCAATTCTGTGAAGAATGTCATGGAGATTTTGAATGGCATTTCTTTGAATCTATAAATGGCTTTTGGTCAAATGGTCTTTTTCACAATATTAATTCTTCCAATCCATGAACATGGGAGGGCCTTCCATCTTCTGGTGTTTTCCTCAGTCACTTTCTTTAAAGATTTCAGATTTTCATCGTAGAGGTCTTTAATGTCTTTGGTCAGGTTTATTCCGAGATTTTTTTTTTTTTTAGGCTATTGTGAAAGTTGGTTGCTCTGATTTCTTGTTAATGGTATATAGAAAGGCTACAGACTTTTGTAGATTAATTTTGTAACCTGCCACTTTACTGAAAGTGTTAATCATTTCTAGGAGTTTTGGGTGGAATTTTTGGTATCTTTTGGTATAATATATAATCTGCAAAAAGTGATAATTTGATCTCTTCCTTTCCAATTATTACTACTTTAATGTCCTTCTCTTGTCTTAATGCTCTTACAAGAGTTTCAAGCACTATGTTAAAAAGGAATGAAGATAGTGGACAGCCTTGTCTGTTTCCTAATTTTAATGGGAATGCTTCCAGTTTTTCTCCATTTAGAATGATGTTGGTTGTGGGTTTGCTGCATATGGCTTTAATTATGTTGTGGTATATTCCCTCTTGTCCAATTCTCTGTAGGACTTTGAACATAAATGCATGTTGAATTTTGTCAAAGGCCTTCCCTGCATCTATTGAGATGACCATGTGGTTCTTGTGTTTGAGTCCATTTATATGATTTATGATGTTTATTGACTTATGTATGTTGAACCATCCCTACATCTCTGAAATAAAGCCAACTTGATCATGGCAATCTTTTTGATGTGTGTGTGTGCAGTTTGCAAGTATTTTCTTGAGAATTTTTGTATCTATGTTCATTAAGGATATGGGTCTATAGTTTTCTTTTCTGGTTATATTTTTACCTGGCTTTGGCATTAGAGTGATGCTGTCTTCATAGAAGGAATTTGGAATTTCTCCCTCCATTTCTATCTTTTTGAATAAATTATGTAGTACTAGATATAGATCTTCTTTAAATGTCTGATAGAAGTCTGCTGTAAATCCATCTGGTCCTGGACTTTTTTTAGTCAGGAGGTTTTGTATTACTGTTTTAATTTCCTTATGTGTTATGGGTCTGTTTAAGCTGTTGGTCTCTTCTTGATTTAGTTTTGGTGGTTCCCATGCTTTTAGATACCCTGCCATTTCATTTAGGTTTTCAAATTTAGTAATGTATATGTTTTTAAAGTACTCCCTTATAATATTCTGGATCTTTTTGGTGTCTGTTGTGATGTTTCCCCTTTCATCTCTGATTTTGTTGATTTGGAGGTGCTCTTTCTTTCTTTTGGTTAACTGGGCTAGGGGGTCTGTCAATCTTGTTTATCTTCTCAAAAACCCAGCTCTTGGATTTGTTGATTCTTTATATTGCTTTCTTTGTTTCTCTTTCATTAATTTCTGCTCTGATTTTTGTTATTTCTCTTGTCTGCTGGTTTTAGGTTTCATTTGTTGTTGCTTTTCAAGTATCTTGAGTTGCAATTTTAAGTCATTTATTTGTGTTCTTTCTGATTTTTTTAATGTAGGCACTTAGAGCTATCAACTTCCCTCTAAGGACTGCTTTCACCATGTCCCAGAGGTTTTGTTGTGTTGTATTGTCCTTTTCATTTAGTTCTAGGAATACTTTTATTTCTTTTTTAATTTCTCCTTTGACCCATTCACCATTCAGGAGTGTACAACTTACAAAAATTTTTATGTCAGAATTGTTTGTTATGTGGATAGTTTTTTATAGGGTTCAAGTCCAGGTGGTCCCAGACCCAGAAACCATTAGGCCCCTAGGAGGAACTAAGTCAGCCAATGACTAGCCACCTACAAGCTGACAAAACCACTTCAGGAATTGGTGATTCAATGCATTGTGATCACCAGAGCTTGCTCCACAGGCTGACAAACAGGTTTACCAAGCTCTGTATCTTGGAAATCTGTAATTTTAAAAAACATGTATTACAGATGTTTACCTTGATAATAAAGGTACAGATCCCCATGCCCTCCCTGAACAGCCCCAAAACAGCCCCAAACAGCAGAAAAAAAAGTTCTCTTTTTCTGCATTCTTTTCTCTTTATAAGCTACCTCTGTGCAGCCATTAGACTGCTGGTTTCACTGACTCTGGAGTTGAGTCCCAGCCCTGCTAACTCCAAAATAAACTCCTGCTTTGCCAGAGTCCTCTCTGTTTCTGTTTTGATGCAATCCTAACCTTTTTTTATCTAACATATAATGTTGTTGTGACTGGATTGCTGGATTCTCTTAGGGGTCTGGTGGTGAAGACTCTGATTGGACTAGCTGCAGGATAAGGGCTACTGCACTCACCACTGATTTGGCCCTCTGGTCTCTCTCTCTCTCTCTCTCTTTCTCTCTCTCTCTCTCTCTCTCTCTCTCTCTCTACCCTTTTCCACTCCTCTGCTGCCACCCTCCCTCTCCCTGCCATTTGGCACTTTCCTTTTTATCACGACAGTCAGTCACTCCCAGACATAAAGCCTTGGCTAGTGGGCAGCACGACCTCCATGACCATTGGTCGTATGGCACAGTTGCTGTGTCTGCCTAAGCCCACCTGGTGGATTGACCCATCTGTCCCACGTTCTCAAATCTTTTCCTGACCTCTCCCTCTCTCCCCCTCTACCCCCTCTCTTTCTCTCTCTCTTTCTCTCTCCCTCCCTCTCTCCCTCTCCCTCCCTCTCTCCTCTCTCTCCCTCTCTGCCCCCCCATCCTTCTCCTTCTCCATGCCACACTGTTGTGGAAAATCTTGTGACTGATTTTGCCTTTTGCCTTACATACCTATCATGCTAGAATGCAGTGCTTCCTGTTTCTTATCAGAGAAAACTCTGTAAGTCACATGGTTTCCAGGAATCTGAAACTTAGAGAAACTGAAACTTATCGTGCTAATAGGGCATCTGGCCCGCTAGATTGTAATAGGATACTAGTCTGCCATGCTAATAAGCAATCCCATATGCTGTGTTATGATTGGACTATTACCCCTATATAAGCCTGTCATAAAGCAGATCTGTGTCACTGAATCTGGTCTCCTGCATCTGAATGTGGCGATGCTGACACAAACTCCTCACCAACCCTGGGTTCCAGACCAGACGACTGATTGGAGGAACAGAGAGAGCAGGAGAGTGACCATAGCCAGAGGAGAGCAGCCATAGCCGGCAACCACACCATACAGTCATTGGCTCTCCTGATCCTCATTAAAATAGTGCTGGTACGTCAGGAGATCCCATGTTTTCCCCTCGCTAGTCCTGGGAGGCTGCCTCTAGGGAATTTGGGATACTCTCATTTTTGGGACCCCCTCCACAGAGAGATGTTGGTCCTGCACAGGAATTTGGCATGCCTATCCTCTCATGCCTCTTTCCTCTCTTGTCCTCTTCCTCCCAATCTTGCTCCTCCTTTTGGTACTTGCCTTCCCAGTCAGCCTCACTCCCAACCTCTTCTTCCCCTGAAGATACCCATAAGCCTTCTCATTTCCCTTCTTTGTCTCTCATTTTTCTCCTTTATCTCCTCACACTAATCACCCTTTTCATTCTCTTCCTCATCCCTTTAATTATAATGGGCAACCTCAATTCTAAACCTGCTGAACTTGCCCCCTTTTCTTGCTTCCTGAAATCTTTAAAAACCGTAGATCTTCTGGACACTGTTAGACCTAAGTGCCTCAAATTCCTCTGCACCACTGCCTAGTGGCAATACAGGTTAGACAATGGCTCTGTCTGGCCAGAGACAGGAAACTTAGACTTCAATATTTTAAGAGATTTAGATAACCTCTGCCAACTTAACTGCAAATGGTCTGAACTTCCCTATATCCAAGCTTTCTTTGTTCTTCCTGCCTGATCCTCCCTCTGCATTCCCTGCCAGACATGCCAGGTCCTCTTGGCAAGACCCCTCCCTCTGACAGCGACCTCTCTGCGCCCCCTTACTTCCTCAAATCCACCTTTGATCCTGACCTGGCCTATGAACAGTCCCCTCCTTGACCTACACCCCCTTTATCATCCCCTTTCTCCTCTGCCCCCCTTACCCACTCCCCATCCAGTTCTCCAACTGCTGCTGCTGCCTCCATCACTTGCACCTCTGGGGATACTGCAACCTGCCTCCCTGCTGCATCCCCCTCCACTCCACCCTCCATACCCTTGTCTTCCCCAGCCATCCATGCTCACATGCCTCATATGGCACTCCTAAAACACTAGGTGGACTCTCCTGAACATCTCGCTTCCTCAGTTGCCTCAGCAGCTTCCCCACAATCCTTCAACTAGAGGAAAGACAGCTCCTCTGTCTCCCCACAGCCTCAACCCACTAAACTTGCGGGTCTCTACCGTCTCCACAAGGTAGCCAGGGTAGATGGAGTTGTCAGAGTCCATGTCCCTTTCTCTCTTAAAGATATGTCCCAAATAAAGAAAAGATTAGGATCCTGCTTTACAGACCCAGCCTGCTTCATTAAAGAATTCATATATTTAACCCTCAGATATGACTTTACCTGGCATGACACCTTTCTCATCCTCCAGCCTACCCTGACCTCTGCTGAGAGGGAACAACTTTGGAAGATGGCCCAATACTATGCCAATGAACTCCACGTAAGTGATGAGGATTCTACTGCTGGGACTCTTGCTGTTCCCAGCCAGGACCCAGGGTGGAACTATCAGGATGCAAAAAACACGACTTACAGTAGTTGTTTTCCTCCATAAGTTTCAGCAGGTACATACCACACACCCTCCCAGAACAGCCCCAAAGAACAGAAGAAATATTCTCTTTTTCTGCATTTTTTTTCCATTTATAAGTTACCACTCTGCAGCCATAAGGCTGCTGGTTTCACTCACTCCAGAGTTGAGTCCCAGCCCTGCTGACCCCAAAATAAACTCTGGCTTTGCCAGAGTCTTCTCTGTTTCTGTTTCATGGCAATCCCAACCCATCACCTTTTTAATCAAAGTTTTATATGCACTAGGTCATTTTTAATCATTGACTGTAGGAGGAAGTGCAGCCTGGGCTGCCAGAGCATGCATGCAGCAAGCGCAGTAAAACATCCAGCTGAGGCAAACCTGTGTTCTGCCAAAAGACATAGAGACGGCTGACTCGAAAATGGCCTGATACAGATAGCCAATGCGGAACAGACAAGACCTATCAATGGACCAATGGGACACCAGGAGGGGAGATATAAGGGAGCCCCATATCCACAATAAACAAGTCTGCAGCTGCTTGCACTGCCTGCTTCTCACCTGACTCCCGGTGTCTGTGTCGTGACTCTGCCCTGACTCTACCCCCACCCAGAGGGCCCCAGGACACCCACAACATCTGGCACCCAACGTGGGTTCCCCATGCTGGCATGGGCATTGACCTTCCTTGGGTGCTGGCCATCGTTGTGGTAGCCGCTTTTCTCTTCTGGACCGTGTGCTTTGCACTTTTCTGCTGCCCATGCATCAACTGCTCTGGAGATCAGCCTTAGTTTCACTTTCTCCACCTGTGACTGCCTGGGCGTCTCTCCCCCACTTTCTTCGGTGTTTTGAGACGCCCCCTGCCTGAAGTTTCGGTAAGTCGGCCCCTATGTGTTACATGTGCCTTCGGTTCTCCTGTGGGTGAGCGTGAGAACCCCCTCCTTCCCTTTTCCCTCATCCTGTCTGTCTATTAGGGAGGTACACATTTTCCTTTTGGTGCACCCAGTACCTCTACATAAAGGCTGACCCCTTAGGAGGCAGAACCCAGGAGCAGCCCCCGACCACTGCCCCTCGTCTGGAGACACCGTGTGGGCAAACGGCCATGGTCTAACAAACCACGGAAGTCCCCCACTAAGCACAAGACATATGGGTCTGACACATTCTCTTTGTCTTAGAATTAACGTGAGTAATCTGCCCCCAGCTGTAGAGAACCCCAAATCAGGGCATTAAAATCCCTCTTTGTCATCTGAGGTCTTAAAGTTAAAACCAATGACCTAGATGCTTTCTGGAATGAGGCTACTATCCTCATGCCATGGGTGACTCCGGAAAACATAATGGGACCCTGACCTCTGGATGCGCATTCTCTTCATCACTAGAAAACGTGAGGTCTCATTCAGTGTTGTCCTGCCTGCTTCATTTGTACCTATTCTCCTAGCAATTATTGCCAGCCTTAATTCCTCTTCACCAGAGGATGTGATAACAGCTCACAATAAACATTGTCAGGAATAGGCTACCATCAATCTGTCCATTTCATCTCCCCCTACGGGTCTCAGTGCCTGTCTTGCCCCCCGGACAAGGAATGTGAGGAGCCAGCCCTCAGCACCAAGGCATATGATCCATCAACCACTCTGCCCCCTAAGTATCCTTGGCAGGAGATGTGCTCAGCATGTGGCCCTTGTACCCCAGAGACACCTTACTGTCACCTCCCTGAGAATGGTCCCCCCACAGTTCCTCCACTGCCAGGACTACTCAACAGGCCCGTCTCTGCCTTCCCTGTGAACGTGGGCCCCAATGCCACTAACCAACCCTGGGTGCCCACTCCCTTGACAGACCTGTCCCTCATTCTCAAGGCTGCCAATGAAACCGGCCCTGACTCACCTTACTTCAAACAAGTCCTCAGACAGTGGGCCATGCAGCTTCAGACCCATTATGATTGGTATAATATCCTTAAGGCTGTTTTAGATCCTTCAGCCTTCCTAAGATGGCACTCTGCCTATGAGGACTTATGTGGAATCTCAGACCCGCCTTAATGTTCAAAACCAGATCCCAGTCACTCTAGATATGCTCATGGGTAGAGGACAATACCTCAACCCTGTGACTCAGGCCACTGTCAGCATTCATGCCTATTTCCAGCAGGCTACTGATCTGGCCTTCATGGCCCTAAAGGCTTGCACCCCTCAGGACCCCTCCACATACTTCCACAAGTTGGTCCAGCAGTCTGGGGAGTCCTTCACTGACTTTCTGTCCTGAGTTACTGAGGCTATTGAGCATAGAGTGGAACCTGGTCCCACACTCAATATCCTGCTCAAACACCTGACCTGGGAGGGTCTTAATACGCCCACCCACAATGCAATCATGACAGTCTGCAATGACGACATTCACAAATGGGTCATTGCTATGAGAGATCTGGACCCCAGATCTGGTCCCCTTGAGGTCTTGATGGCCTCCCTGGGCGCACTCTTTTCTGAGCATAAACAGGCCCAAGATAGCCCACCCTCTTGTGGCTCATGCTGGAACTGTAGTAAACCAGGCCACTTCTGCCACAACTGCCCGGAATCACGAGACTCACAGGAATGACCCAAAACCTGCTGCCCTAAATGTAATAAGGGCTATTATTGGGCTAAGGACTGCCAATCCCAAAATCAAAACAACTGCCCTCCTTTAAACTTCTCCAGGGGCACCCCTCAGCCCCACAAGTAAGGTGGGAGACCAAGCAGATCTTCTAGTCCCTTCCTATCTTCATTCCCCGCTCATGACTGTTTATTTGGACGGTTCCCCTGTCAAGGGCCTGGTGGATACGGGGGCCAGTGTCACTATTATAATCGTAAATGACTCCCTCCACTTCCCACACTGGAAATTTAGAATAGGCCCCTTGATAAAAGGGGTAGGAGGGAGCCAAAATACAAAAATCACTGCCCAACCAGCTCACTGGAAGGATTTAGATGGTAATCAGGGCTCATTTAACCCTTGGTGGCTGACATCTCACATACTTTGTGGGACAGAGACATTCTAGAGGATATGGGGGTAGTAATTACCACTGATGGCAGGGCCTTTCTTGATGATGTCATCACTCATGGTAAATCTAGCCTTTCTGACAGAAACACTTTTCATGCCAGCCCCATACCCGCGACTAGTCAGCAACCCCAATTCTAAGGGTCACTGTCCACCACGAGTCCTCGATTTGGGGGCTGCCTGACCCGATTGCCCTAACCTGGATGTTGCATGATGCCATTTGGGTGGAGCAGTGGCCTATCTTAGAACCCAAGCCAGACACACATTGGCTCAATATATCAATGCTCCTGGTCACAATAATTTCTCAACTATTCTATCCTACTTCATGAACAAGTAATTCACTTAAACTATACTGGGGCTCCAGTTCTAACGCTCAACTATGGGCTCTTCGAAACCATTTGGAACAACACCAAAAGCCTGTTCTCACCAACTTGGCTAGCCACCTATGCTTTGCTAGGAGGTATTGTCTTAATTTTACTTCTCCTCAAGTGTCTCTTTCAGCATATACGACACCAGAGAAAGGTTAACATTGCCACCATCTGGGTGCTCATGGCTCTTCAACATCATGGTCCTGAACCTCCCCACAAGTTCCTGCAGTCCTGGCTCATTGAGATCCATAAAGCCTTGATATAATTGCCTTCCCCTCGAGCACCCAATGGAGTCTTTCCAGGGGGTCGCCTTTTGAGGGCTGGTAGTTAATGATGGGTAAGAGCTTGATAACCAAGCCAACCTAAGACAGGCACGGTCAATAATACTGGGGACCCCCTAAGGTGGGGCCAACAATGTCAAGGCGAAGAATCTTGGCTCCCACTAGAGTTCCATAAAGCTTAAAAACAAAAAGGATGGATATGTAGGAGGAAGTGCAGCCTGGGCGGCCAGAGCATGCTCATAGCAAGTGCAGTAAAACATCCAGCTGAGGCAAACCTATGTTCTGCCAAAAGACGTAGAGATGGCTGACTGGAAAATGGCCTGATACAGACAGCCAATGAGGAACAGACACAACCTATCAATGGACCAATGGGACACCAGGAGGGGGAATATAAGGGAGCCCCATATCTGCAATAAATGAGTCTGCAGCTGATCACACTGCCTGCTTCTCACCTGACTCTTGATGTCTGTGTTGTGACTCCACGCTGACTCTACCCTGACCCGGAGGGCCCCAGGACACCCACAACAAGTGAACAAACTTGGACATATTTCATAGAATACTTATAAATTAACAGATTTGTGAAATATGGTTCAACTCTTTTGGTGGAGGTTCAATTTTTTTTTTTTTTTTGAGACATAGTCTCATATATCTTAGACTGGTTTCAAGCTTGATTTTTTTTTCTACTCTTGGATTTTTTTTCAGTTTTTTAATTTTATTTATTTAATAACCACATATTATAAGAAGCATTTCATTACATCAGCATTGACATATTCAATAACAATTTTCTGAGCTAGGCTGCATCTCTACAAAATTGGCAGTACATTTTTAGGTTACAGCTGAATTATTATGGTTATACAATATTGTACTCAGTATAAGACCTATAAGACATAAAATTAAATGAGGTTTTAACCTCTAAACAAGATCTCCATT